GGCTGTTACAGCAAACAAGGACCTCATGTGATGGACCACTGAGAATCCCTCCACTTGCTTCGGTGGCTTATTCTTTGATTTTTTTTTGCATCTATAGACATATTTTTGCATTCTCATATGTCTTCCTAAAATCCCCACATATCAATTGATTTTACTAGTAGAATTTGGTTAAGGAAACTGTAAAAGTCAGTCCTGACTCTCTAACTGGGAAGTCATGAAGCTAAATGATGCCAGACCCTTGACTATATTAATGTATCATCAAGTTGCTGTACTTTTAAAAGGACGAAGGGAAACCCATCATCAAAATTTGTCTATTTAATATTATATAATCATTATTTAATGATTCATTATATGAATGAATCATAATGTTGAATTAATAGAAATGCTTTTATTAAAAAGTCCAGTGAGTTCAAGGCCAGCCTGGTCTACATTGTGCATTCCAGGACAGCTGGGGCTACAGGGAGACCCTGTCTCAAGAAGAACAAAAAAACGAAAAAGAAATTCCAGTCATGTTAACATTTTCCTTTTGTTTTCAAGTTAAGGACAGATATAGTCCTACTTGGTCATCTTTGTAAATACCGATAAATAGCTTCCACGAATAAGGTCTGTTCTAAGTCACTTAAATTCCTTCATAGATTCATTGCAAGTTACTTTATCAATTGACTATTAGTTGTGTTCATTCTTTTGGCCATTATCTGGGGATCCCTGTGAGCTAGTGTCACATTTTCCCCCTTTTGGGCTTGATTGTCTGTGCTTTCTTTACTTTAGCCCCCTTCTTCCAAGTCAGTACTCCTACATCAGAAGTAGGTCCACCATACACATAAATCTGCAATTTACAGGCCAGCTAGTTCCCAGAGGCATTCCTAGACATGGTTTTCAGATGGACCTGCCCACGGGTTTTAGAGGTTGATGAACCCAAGAACTTGATGAATCTTGTAGGAAGACAATTTAAGAGCTCAAGAGCAGCCATCACACAAACAGTACCCAGTGCAGCCCACCAGAGTACAATCACCCGTTCATCAAAAATGGCATGCCAATGGCAAATGGCGAACAGTTTGCTGTCTTAGAGATTACCTCTCTGCTAACTGCTTCATTAGTGTGAAAATGATAACTTTGAGCATCAGATGATTCCTTTATAATGTGTGCATGTAAATTTTGGAGTTTCCCAATGCTGTGTTGACTGTGCCTATTTATGACAACAGGTTAACTCACTTGTCTTATATCGATGCATAAGGTTAAAGATTCTTAAATGGTCACACCTGAGTGTTTGTTAACTTGTTTTCTTTGCTTGCTTTGAACCTATTGGGCTTAAACATTGGTTCAGCCCGTCTCCTCTTCTCTTCTTCCTTTCTCCTCTTTTCTGTTCCTCGTTTCCTTCTTCACTTTCTCCTCCCTTCTTCTCTCTTACTTCCCCCCTTCCTTTATCTCTTTCTCTCACTTTCTGTGAGGTTCATTTCCTTGCCTGATTCTGATTGTCCATAATGACTGTTTGGCATATTCTACAGGCAAAGGTCCCGAGACCCTTTTTGCTGGCTATAACCTCAATGATAATGAATGGCACACGGTGCGTGTGGTTCGTCGAGGAAAAAGTTTAAAGCTAACTGTGGATGATCAACAGGCCATGACAGGTAAACTCCTCTGTCCCCTGTGATTTCTCTTGTAATAAGTCTTCAGACCCTCATTTTTTTTTTGCAGGGGTCTTCTCAAACCAAGGCTGGTAAAGAGTTTGAAGGCTATACCCATAGACCATGTGCATCCAACTTTATATCAATATTTGCATTTAATAAGCAGTCTCAAAATGAACATTTTATTGTCGTGTTCCCTCTTCATTATTGATTCAAGAAATTATAGTATATTTTAATTTTGTGGCTTGATAAATATCTTAGGGTTTCATAAAATATTGAAGTCATTTATTACATGCCAATTTCTCTTCATTTCCTTTGTTTCTTATATATTTTGTTGATGAACAGTAACAAAATGTACTTTTTCACTCAAAAAAAAATTTTAGGTGTACTCATATTCTGTTACAGGAACTGTTTTTTTTTTTTCCTTCTGTTACAGGAACTGTTTTTTTTTTTTTCCATTTTAGACTATAAAATGGATAATTTTGGGTCATTTAGTTCCATTGACTAATCTCTAGCATTCCGGATGTCAAGTCCAATCTCCAGTTCATAGAATCATAACCAGGGGAGGTGAGCTACATAAAGGTCCACCATGGACACTCAGGGAGGCCAAATGAAAGAGGGGTCAGAGCAGTTTTATCTTTGAAAACAAATTCAACTGCACAAACTATTGGGATATTAACTCCTTTTAGAAAATACCCACGCTAATAATTTTAGCACAAAGCATAAACAGTCTGTGTGCACTGGAGACACATCAAATTCCTTTCTCAAGGTAAATAAGTAGGAGATTATAATTTTGAAGGAATCATTATTGAGACCAGACAAAACAAACTACCAGTTCACAGATCTTTATTTTCTTATATTTCACCAGCTCTTTGCGACTTTCCAATTTTTTTCCCTGGAAGTAGTGGAATTTTTGTTTCACCATCACCTGAAGAGCTTTACAAAGAACCCTCCCCCAAAGGAAATACAGGGAGGGGCCCAGTGATGTGTTTCTCTTTAAATCTCTGCAGGGGGCACTATTGCTTCTTCATGCATGGATCAGGATTTAGAAATCTGTGCTGTGTCCCTTTATTTTCTGAGAAAAAAATCAGCTGTACTGATGTTAGTATAAGCCTTTAATAGAATAAACATAATAGCACAACAGTAAAATCATCACTCATGACAAAGCTCGGAAACAGGTACTTAAATTTGGGGAAGGAAGGCAGAATTGGACTTTGACAGGGGAGTATCTGCTGGGGTTCAAATAGTTTTTTGGTCTAGGTCAAATCTTGGAAGACAAATGAATTGTTTTTGATCATGAACATTAATTGTTGAAGCATTTGGGCTTTGTCCAGAGGGATGGGGTTAAACAGGAGTTAAAACCATGACCAAGAGTTTGGGAAGAAACAGTTGTAAGGAATGAAAATATGTAGAAACCACAAAGGAGCATTTTTTGTGCCTGAATGTCTCTTGGGTAAGACACAGGCCTATAAAGCAGATTAAGAAACATGTATTCTCATTTTAAAGATGACAAAACTGAAGCTCAAAGAGGACAAGTGAATTATATTTTATTGAAAGATCATGGTTACGGGAGCAGAGAACTGTTCAGAATTTTTGTTTCATTTTCTTTGGTTGGTTGGGTTTTGACCTATAATCTGTTCCATTATACTCAATATCCTAATAAACATATGACCCTATACTAAATACTTGCCCAAATATGGTATCATATTGTAAGATAATGTATACATATGCAAAGTTACATATATAAAGTGTGGGAAATAGCTGATAAAACAGAATAGTTTATGATATACTAAGTCATAAACACATCTTAGTGTTGGAGTTCAGAAGACAGGTTGAAGGACTTGGATTCAGTGATACATTAAAATATTTGAACTACTTGGGACTGGAGAGATGACTCAGCAGTTAAGAACACTGACTGGTCTTGCAGAGGACCCAGAGTTAATCCCCAGCACCCACATTGCAGATAACAGCCATTCATAACTCCACTTCCAGGGTATCCAAAACCCTCTCCTGACCTCCTCAGATATTGCCTGACACAGGTGCACTTACACACATGCAGGCAATACACTTATACACATAAAATAAGAAATAAAATATGAAAAAATATTTCAACTACTGTTGCGGGTTCTCCTTAGGCCAGCTGTGAAGACCCTAACCTGGATCGGGTCCCCTGCCGATTAGGGGGAGTAAGAGGTGTGGAGTCACAACACACAGACCCTGGGAGTTGGGTAGAAGCAAGCACTAGGCGAGGTACTGCAGGCTCATTTAATGCAGAAGGGGGCATGCCTTACATCTCCCTTTTCTCTGCCCCCAAGTCCCTTTAGTCAGTGTATTGTTTTCTGATTGGTCCACGCCATGCAGTCTGTCAGCAGTCACTGGGCTCGCCAGCAGGGTACAGAGGGGTGGGCTCCTTTTGTCGGGCTACTT